TGTATTGCTTCCCCTTCTCAGCTGGACAGGGAAGAGGAAATGTAAAAAAAAAAAAGACTCAGGGGTTTAGGTAAGGCCAGGGAGAGGTCACTCACCAATTACTGTCATGGGCAAAACAGTCTTGGGGAAAATGGATTTATTACCAATGAAATCAGAGTAGGATAACAAGAAATCAAGCCACATCTTAAAAATACCTTCCCCCTGTTCTGTCCTTCTTCTAAGGCTTAACTTTGCTCCTGATTTCTCTACCTCCTCCCCTCCAGTGGCACAAGGGGACAGGGAATGGAGGTTGCAGTCAGTTCATCATATGCTGTCTCTGTTGCTCCTTCGTCATCAGCAGGAGGACTCTTCACACTCTTCCCCTGCTCCAGCGTGTGGTCCCTCCCACAGGAGACAGTCCTTCATGAACTTCTCCAGCATGAGTCCATCCCACGGGGTCACAGACTCCTTTGGGCACATCCACCTGCTCTGGTGCAGGGTCCTCCCCAGGCTGCAGGTGTGTCTCTGCTGCACCATTAACCTCCATGGGCTGCAGGGACACAGCCTGCCTCACCAGGGGCTGCACCACGGGCTGCAGGGGAACCTCTGCTCCAGCCCCTGGAGCACCTCCTCCCCCTCTTTCTTCACTGGCCTTGGTGTCTGTAGGGCTGTTCCTCTCACATTTTCTCACTCTTCTCTCCAGCTGCAGTTGCCATTGTGCAGGGATTTTTTTCCCCCATCTTAAACATGTTAACACAGAGGCACTACCACCGTCACTGATGGGGTTGGCCTTGGCCAGGGTTGGGTCTGTGTTGGAGCTGGCTGACATTGGCTCTGTTGGACATGGGGAAGCTTCTGGCAGCTTCTCACAGAAACCATCCCTGTAGCCCCCAGCTACCAAAACCTTGCCATGCAAACCCAATACAGTAGTCTACTGTGATATCTTGGAGCTAGAATCTCCAAAAATCTTAATATTCAAAATGCTGTTTGAAGGGAACGGATGATGTCTTGGGTTTATCATTGATGTGTTGCTGTTCCCTTGTGTGACTGGTGTTTGGATTTCAGGTCTTGTCTTAGTAACATTTCTTAGTATTTTTAATTGTCAATGTTCTCTTCTATATCCTTTCCCATATATTGTTACATAGGATAAAACAACAGACAGTTCCTGCTCATACATACTGTCCTATCAGAAACCATTAAATAGGTTTTGGTGTGAAAGTAGAGTTAGTCTGAGCTGTGTTGATTGTGCAATTAGCAGTGAAGGTTTTTCTGTATGCTACAAGTATAACCAGGAAAGTCCATGCCAAACATCGAGATACCAGTTCAGCTGAAAATTTATTTTTGCTTCCAGGAACAAAATACTCTGCATAGAGGATGTTGGCATTATTGCTGTAAACACCTGTTGCACAAGTGATTTCGTTTTTTTTAATACAGTATCTGCAGTAATAGAGTCTTTACAAGCAGGCTTCAGCTCACTAATTCTTGGTGTCTAAATGTAAGGCTGTAAAGTGTCTCTACTCCCCCTGTGATAGCTCAGGAGAGACAGGTGTCAGTTGGTGATTCATCCCACCCTAAATGCAGTATCTAAGCTGCCATGGGATAAATTCCTATCCAGTGGTGAGCCATTTGATCTTTAAATGGCAGCAGGTGAGATGGGTCCTGTCCACAATCAATAGGAAACAGAGGTTCTCCAGTGAATGTTGTGTTCTTCAAGCAGGTGGTTGTCTTACAGGGGTTCTCTTATCTTACCCCTTCCCTCCCTAGAACTCCCTCTCTGAGGTTTCTTGTTTGTCTCAAAGCAGTTTCTGTCTGGGTTTAAGGAAAGAAGATGAAAGGAAAATAATTAGGGTAGTTTTTGTTTGGGGTTTTGATTATTTTTTTTAATCAAAAATTAGCTTTCTAAATAAGACAAAGGACTTTGTATCCCCTGATCATTTATTTTATAAGGAGAGGGAAAAGAAAAGCAAAGATCCCTCAGTATAGTAGATTAGAAACTGATACCTCAGAGACTCAGTGCACAATAAAAGTTGCTTGGCCAGTAGGTTTTACTTAGCAAGATTAAATTTCTCGTCAGAGCAGAGGTCAAATGTGTCAGGATTGTGGAGGATGTGCTGAAGAGGTAGGAACTCAAAACGCTGTTAGGAAGAAATGCCTTAATTCTCTGGAGTGTACCAGTGACCCAGCTTTCCAGAAGCTATTTACCTGTACATATACTTTCATGCTTTTTTCGCCCACCTTTTTTTTTTTTCCTTATATTCTTTTGGTGGGCAATGGATCATCAGGATTATTTAGCCTGTTGTTAAATATGTATATAGATAAAAAGATAACTTCTAACCAGTAGTCATGATAACAGTTATGAGGAAGCATTAAAAGGGGCCAAGCAACAGCCAAACCTTAATTGTTTTGGGAACAGAATTTTGGCAGAATTGATTCCTTGGATTGCTCATAATGCATTTAAGAGAATTGTTTGGAAGCATAAGGACTTCTGAGATTTGGTGTCTTCCTTCAGACTTCCTTATGGAATCATAGAATGGTTTGGATTGGAAGGAACCTTAAAGACCATCTAGTTCCATCCCCCTGCCATGGGCAGGGACACCTTCCACTAGCCCAGGTTGCTCAAAGCCCCGTCCAACCTGGCCTGGAACACTGCCAGGGAGGGGGCAGCCACAGCTTCTCTGGGCAACCTGTGCCAGTGCCTCACCACCCTCACAGTGAAGATTTTCTTCCTTATAGCTAATCTAAATCTACCCTTTTTCAGTTTAAAAACGATATCCCTCACCCTTTCACTACACTCTCTGATAAAGAGTCCCTCCCTGTCTTTCCTGTAGGCCCCCATTCAGCACTGGAACGCCTCTCTATGGTCTCCCCAGAGCCTTCTCTTTTCCAGGCTGAACAACCCCAACTCTCTCAGCCTGTCCTCACAGGGGAGGTGCCTGGTCATCTTCGTGGTCCTCCTCTGGACCCCAGAATCTGTGGGGAAATCTTTTGTTTTAAAAAATGAAGTGTCATGAAAGGCTGGCTTACTGAAGTTGACATACTAGAATAAACTGGTGATTCATATTAGTGGGAAGTGGAGCAGTAATGATTTTAAGTATACTGAAGGAGTTTGGTGAAGCTGATAATGTGCAAAAATATTCTAATTAAAGTCAGTTAGAAAACAAGGTTGCAGTAAATGGTATTTGTATCTTCAAAAATTGGGGAGGATGATCTGAATGCTTTCTTACATAATATGCTAACCTCTGAGGTTCAGTGTCAGATGACATCTAATCAGAAGAGCTTAGTATGGTTCAAAAAATAATTGGACTCCTGGATGTATAACATTCATTTGTACAAAAAAAACCCATAAACCTGGTTGCTAGATCCACAGTCTTATTTTATTATAACCAAGTGAGTCAGATTAAACATAATTGTTAATGAACTTAACACAGCAGGGGCAAAGCTGTACAGCTTCTGTGAAGGAAAACTGAGCTGTGCACATCTGTGCAGATTAACATTAATGAATAAAGAAATTACTCTGTCTCATAAATTTTTAAAAGCTTTAGAAGTAAGGCTCTCTGGTTTTCAGTATGCCACAACTAATTCTAGGTATGTTTTAAGATTCCATCCTTGCACAGCTGTTAAGTATACTTATTCATAAATTTGAATAATTTAGTAGTAGCTGAATGGTATGAATTGTGTAAAACTTGCAGTTGGTTCAAAATTACTTAAGTAGCTAAATACAGAAGAAAACTTGTGGTGTTCCCATGGCATCCCAAGGAGGGTGGGCACCTGATAGTTTCTGACACACAGTCCAAGCCACAATCTGTGCAAGCATGTGTTTGTCATGGAAAGGTTTTTACTCTGCAGTAGCTTCTAAAGTAGATGCATCTGTGCGTTGAGACAAGTCTTCAGCCTTGGAGCAGCGGGTAGTGTTTCACTCTCATGCTCCCAACATTCAAACAGTGCCCAAACAAACAAAAGTAAGGTTGGGTTGAAGCATACTACTGAATTCTGGTTATTCATTTAGAAATTTTCCAATACTGGTATTGGAAAAATCAGAATCAGATAGGAATGAGTTTGTGATGATGTGTATATTCCATAATTAATGACTTACAGGAAGCAAGGTGGGTGGTGTTTATTTTGACGACAGTACAAGAACAGAGGGACATTCAATACCCTGAACATTAATTAAAAACTTGCTTTCTTATTCCTTACATAATGTCTTGCTCACCTGTGGAGCTCAGGGCCATATGATAGCTAATCTGAAGATCTTAATGTTCAAAAATAATTAGACTTTTGGATGGATACTATCCTGTGTTATCATATAGGAAAAAGATAAACTCTTCAGCTTCAAAGACAAGTTGGTAATGACCAACATTCAAAAAACTTGACCTGTCAGCCATTGCTCATTAGAAAAGCTTGACTGTCAGTCATTGCCACTGCTTGGTTAGAAGAGAAAACAAGGGCAGACAGTCTGCTAGTAGATACTGCTTTCTGAAGAACACTTTTGCAAATGGCCTGTTGTCTGTCCTGCCCTGATTTTGCTTTGAAAGTATAAAACCTCTAGGACCGTGAGTGAAATGTCATGTCTTACATACTGCTTGTCTCAGGATGTTTGGCTGTACATAAAATACTGCAATGGGAGTATCATCAGAAAAACAACTAAAATTAATGTTACAGTTACTGGTAGATTTCTATCATGGCAATACTTACTCATTTGGATTTTTCTTTTTTTTTTTTTTTTTAAATTGGAGATCTGTGTTTACTATGTGTGACTTAAGTTGGCATTGCCTGCCTCCTACAGCAGGGAGAGTGAGTGAGATTGCTTGTTTGCGTATCAACACCAAGTCATCAGTTATGGAAACCTTGTTGACACTGCTTATAATTGAACCAAGGAGAGAACAATATAACTGTAAAATTACCAGTTGATAGGAAAATGTCTTAGTTTGCAGAATATAACAGATTTTTTTGCATGAATTTGTTTTGGATCTTACGAGATTTAAGTTAGCAATCATCTTTAAAGTTATCTGCATTTTTTGCAGGGTATTATAGAAAAATCGAAAGTGAAAGGAATTCCTATCATTATTGATGCTGTAAGTATTTCTTGGTTTAGTCAGTGGTTTGGCATTTAAGAATCTATTCAGTAAATGTTCTTCTTACTGATTTTTGCAGGACGGACTGTGGCTCATTTCCCAACAGCCTTCTCTTATTCAAGGCTACCAGCGAGCTATTCTTACTCCAAACTACATGGAGTTTAGTAGACTTTATGAAGCCATGGTGAGCCATTTTCCTTTTTGATATTTAAGTACATGCAAGTTTAGTCTTCTAGTCTTTAAAAATCAGCAACTTATTACTGGCTTAAACATCATGTGTTGTTTCTTATATGCCAGAGAAGCATTCTCTGGGGTTTTATTCCATGGGATAATCACAACAGTGCATATTCTTAAACAGCACCCTTTTAAGAAGAAGACACTTTGTTATGCATTTTTAGGCACTGAAGTAGGTATAGGAAAAAAATACCTGGAAAGATGGATGCTGCTGCTTTCCCCCCTGCCATCCCCCCATACATACGCTGAAGTAGCATGTGTTAGAATACATTGTTCTCGTAGTAAAATATGTACTGTGTATGGAATTCTTGTGTTGTAGCTTAGAGACCCTGTAGACAGTAGTGATCATCATGGATGTGTATTAAGACTCAGCCAAGCCATGGGGAATTTGACAATTGTTCAAAAGGGAGAAAGAGATCTTATTTCAGATGGAGAGAAAGGTAAGTGAAACCTTTTGCTTTTAGCAATATGATTTTTTTGATGTTTGTTTTGTTTGCTTTCAGTTGTAGTCCAGCAGTTGGACTATGGGAATACAGTCAATCAATTACTATATAAAGACTGAAGGGGAGAGAAGGGTGTCTTAGCAGATCACCTTTAGATGGTTTGTGTAAATTGATATTTTAAAAGACTGCAACTTAATTTATTTGGTGAAAAAAGTTGCTGATTTTATTTCTCATTCAGATGGCTTTAATTTATGTTTTACATCACTCACGTATTGAAAAATTAATTTTTTAATCTTTGTGAACTGTTTTTAAATCCTTCGTTGAGATGGTCTATATAAGTGCAGATGTCATGGCTAACTTAATGCAGAATAATATTGTTGTTTCACCATGTATTGGTGTATGTGAAAAATGAAGATGTCTTGAGGTTCATGAGCTGCTTAGTTCCTTGATACTATACACCATGAGCTGTAGATTAGTATATACATATATGACTTGTACATTAGCCCTGACAATTAAAAAAAAAAAACCAACAAACCAACCCACAACCAAATTAACTCTGATCACTTACTGTGATCAGTATAAAATTAATTTGCGAGTGCCTTCGTTGCATCTTAACTATGTGGTCTTATTTCACATACATAACAAGCAGCAGCTCTGCTTCTAATTACTTGAAATGCTAATCTCTCATAAATGTTTATGCTGCTTCAGAACCATTTTGTATATATAGTCAATTTTTCATTATTTGGAGCCATGGGAGTCTTCTATAACAGAAAACCAGATGTAATATGACAACTGGTTTGTGCAGAGTTGCCTTCCACATATGCCCATTAGTACAGATACTACAGTGGACCGTGAAGCAAGCTGAGATCTGGGAGCAAGGCACTTATACTTGTGTGGTGAAGGACTTGGGACAGTCATACAGTACCCAAGTTGCCCTGAAGTCTGCTGTCATACACTTGCACCCATAGCAGACTTGATTTGTAACCTTGGACAGTCAGGCCAAGCTTAAGGGAGGATGAACTCTGCCAGAGGATGAAATATCCTGGCTCCAGTTTATGCCAGCTAGAGAGCTTTAGAGCACTGTAGTGTATCTTCTTTCTCTGGTTCTATGTCAACAATGTTCTTTTTATGTAGGATTGTTCCTTTTTTAATGAATGTCGGGAAAACTGGGTGAGTGCTTTAGATTGAGCATATTACCTAGGATATCTCTGTTCTCCTTTCGAACTGTTATTCTTGAGATAAGTGTACCACCACCATTGCTGGAGAGAGGGGACACACTCTGTCTCCACTGTCTCTTGTCATGCAGGATTCAGAAAACCAAGAAACAACTGAAACTCTTTCCAGTTTCAATTTTGAATGTTTAGGTGTGGCGCAAACTTGGTGTATGTCTTATGTGCTTTTGGGGCTTTTTGTTGTTTTTATTTTTTTTTCCCCCCATATTCTTTGTCTCTGTTGTGATATTATTTTCTCTTAGTTAAGTGGCTTTTTGATTTGAAATAAAACCAGTTCTGTGCCTTTATAACAGTTGTTTGATGTCTAGCTATAGGCTGCTTTCTTGTTGTTACCTTGGTTGTATCACTGATTCTTTCTCTTTCCTGGATTACAGACATTACAGGCAGCATTGCTAAGCTGTAAGAAAGCAGTTGTCAGGTTTAATACAGATTATGATGTCTGTTATAAACACTGTTTTTAGGATTTGTGTTGTTTCAAGAAGGTTCCTGAGAATTTTTCAGAAACTATAGACTTCAGCTTCCTTTTAACAAGAATGTTCTTTGAGTCAATTTTTTAAAAGCTTCTCAAATGCAAAGTGATGTTGAGAAAGTAAAATTTACTGTCTACTCTGTGCCACAACACAGAACATGCTGTCATGTTACTGACCTTGAATTTTCTTCCATTTTTTTCGCTCTTAACTTCTTTTTTCATCTGCCTGTTCTTTTGATCTGATGTCATTTTTTTTCAGCTAAGACAACATGCATCATGATTCCAGTGTGAGGGAAATCCAGATCATTGGATCAGGCCAATGTCCTCTGAGCAGAGTCAAATATTATAAAAAGATCTGTGTACTCTTCTTGTCTTTTTATTTTTCATGTTATGATCCATTTGTAGTGTTTAAGCTATACCTATTTTCAGGTATTTCCTGCTTGAGCTCATGTGCTTAGCATGCTAATACTGTAGTTTCCATGTATCACTTTTAAACTTTCTTCTTTGGGAATATATTGCATGCATGCTTTCTGGGGGGGGAAAAAAAAATTCTCAGTGCTCTCCAGGAAAACCAGAAATTGCAAACTTAACTATGTAGCTTTAGTGTTCTGTGCTTGACTGTTGTGGAAGGAAGGCTTTTTGAGGATGCCAGATTTTGCAGCAGGGAAGACTTGCCTTGGTGAATACTTCATAGGCTGGAGTGATTGTAGTGGTTATTTTCATAGTGCTTTTATTCATGAGTCTATAGGAAGTTCAGTAGGCAATTTACTTCTGTTAGTTGAGGACAAAAAAGGTTATCAGGTGATGTGATAGCGAGCTGGAAGTACAGGTGTTGGTGAAGGATTACTGTCAGCAGACAGCTCTGTAATCTAAGCAGACAGGCACAATAAATTATGTTTGGAAGCTGATGTTTAATAAATTCAGATTAAAAATAAGGCAGATTTTATTAACAAAGAAATTAGCTATGACAATAACATATCTAGAACTTTGATAGATTGCCAAACTGTGAAGTTTCTGGATGCCTTTGAGGTTTGTTTTTACAGATCAGATTAGATGATGCAGGTGGCCTTGAAATCAGTACTGAGTCACATACATGGCCTCTATGAAGTCAGTAGCAGCCTGCCACTAAAATGGAGGTTTTTCTAAAATTTGTCACCATTTCAGTTATGAGCTGCCAACTGCCCTGTAAACATAATCAACAAGATTTTAAATTAAGTTTTATATACTCTTTTTCTCTTTCCTTTTGCAATTTCACATTATAGCTTGGTCTACAGTTGTTGATTCCCTGCTCTACAAAGATGAGTTTCACCATGCTCTTGGTAGGTGATATCAGTGCCATCACTGACCAGGGTAGGAATGAGTACTCAGCCTGTGGGTAAAAGGTAAGTCAGCTTTTATTCACTATGGCACAGCTCTCTAAGGTTTTCTTTTTATTATTCTTTGGAGAACTGGTCAATAATAAAGTGTGGTTATACCTGTCTTGGTTCCTAACATGTTTAAAATTTGGTTAGGTCCTTGAAGTAGAGGATTTGGATTTTTATTTTTAAATATTATAATGAGTTTTTCTGTATTTTCCCCAATATCTGTGTTTGTCCTCTCCTCCATTCCAAAAGGCAGACTTGATGAGTAACCAGCCCACTGCTCCCTGTGACTGCTTTTACCTGGAGCCAGTAGCCATATAGTTTCTCTCTAGTTGCCCAGCTGCAGCTATGGTCAAGAGAAGAAAAGGAGCATATGAGAGGGATTATTAAGTACTAAATATGAGGTAAAAAACCAACTCTTGCCATAAATCCCCAAGCAGTATTTCTGCTGATTCCTGCTGTTCGTGCCCTATACAGCTGGGAAGGAAGCGCTTCAGTGCTTGTCAGGCCCTGGTTCACTCAGCTAAAAGCTCTTACAGTGCCCAGCTGCCCAGCCAATTTTGCCTAGACTTCTGAGAGGCAGCACCTTCATCTTCAGTCCTGTTTCTGAAGAGTGAGTGAAACAGGGAGGTCACAGTTCCTACCTGTTGTGTCCCTGTGCTCTCCGTAGCACGCACAGCCCATCCCATTGTCTCCCCAGTACTGCTCACCTGTTCACCACATCCATCCCCTGGCTTCTGTGCCTATCCAGGAAAAGTAATGTAGAGTTTGGATCATTTTCTTTTAACTTAAATTGCCTGGTGTCTCACACTCAAGGACCTATCTAAATTTTAAAAGTGTGATTAGGGAATATAAAAGTATAAGCACCCTTTATATAAAAGCCAACTTACATTTTCCACAACAGTTGAGTGATTCTTCCAGCCAAAGCCATTAATCTTGGTTTCCCTGTCTGTATGCACTCTGGACTCCCAGAAAGATGTCCCACAAACTCCAGCTATGTGCTTTTGTGAACTAAATTGCAAAAGGAAAAAGATACATTCCTTACCAGTATGAGTATCTGCCAGGTCAGAGAAGTGTATTGACAAAACATTTTACTCAAGATCTGATAATGCTCTAAACCTGAATCTTGCATTTGATGGAGCGGAGTTGTCCATGATAGGTACGTTATTTTACATAGAAAATGGAAATCTTAAGCCTTTTAATTAAACAAGAGTATTTGTTGTTCTGTGGAGTAGCTGACATTGGCTGATCCAATGCAGTTGAATCATATCAGAAGTCAGAATGGTTGTATCTTTCATACACAGATTCCTGAGCACATTAGGATAAGTGTAATACTCTGTAAGAGGAAGACAAGTGCAAAGAACTTGTTCAAGATGTCTGAGATTCAAGAATTAAATTTTAATTTCCAGGCTTTTGGTCTGCTGTCTCAATAAATGTGATGATTCACATTGGCTGTTTAGCCTTCTTTATCATCATCAGTATTACGTGTTAAGCCTTAACTAGCTATTCTGTATTTCACATTCTGTGTTCTAAGTACAAACATAAAAAATGAATCCCTGGGGTTTGATTTTTTTTTTTCACTACTGCGTGAACACTGTGAATCAAGAACATGCAGACATCCTTTTTTATACTACATGGGCCTTCAGTTTTCCAACTGTAATGTGTCTAGGAGCTGCTGTTATGGCTGTGCACAGTCCTACTTATATCAAAATTCCTGCTTCCCAGTTAACTTGTAGTGCTTGATCTCAGCAAAACTACTAAATTCTATTTTTTTTTTCCTTTGAAGAGAGGATAGCTATTTTCATTTACATGTCAGACCTTTTTTTTTTTTTTTTTTTTTTTTTGGCAAAGCATACAGTACCCATAAATGGGTCATTTTTCTGTGCTCTGATGTGCCTGCAGAGTTTGGGCTGGGAGTTCTTTCAGCTTAAAACTTGCTGACAGCAGTATAGTTAAGTGTGACATCATGGTCTGAATGCTTTCCCAAATGCTAATGCTTATCTTCAAGGAGTGCTGAAAAGGGAGTGATGGTAACTTACTTTATGGCCTGAAAAATATTAAACATAGAGCTACTAAATGACTTGGCCATAGTTACCCAGGAAATCTGGGGCAGAATTTTGAATTTCATGGAGCCTAAAACTCTTGAATTTCTACTTTCCAATATTCTGTCATTTTTTTTGTTGTTTCTATTTAACTCATATTTCAATACAAGTCATTTCCATGGACGTAGGTAAGCAAGATATCCGGGTCACAATATGTGAGGGACATGCTGTATTTGCTGTGTACAGCTCTGTCAATATTTATGTGCTGTTTAATTGCTGAGATTATGTTGAAACTGTTGAATAGGGCTGTGGTTGTTCTGACTCTAGCTGATCTCCTTGTCCCACTTCAGTCAATGATTTCTTCAACGATAACATTTTTATTTCATCTAGCCTTTTCTTATGAGAGTGTATGTGTGCTCCATGGGTATGTGCTAGGGAACTAGGGTTTTTTCTCTTTCAGAAAGTCACTTAGTGAAAATCAGTTTTCATTAAAAGACTGTCTATTAATTATACTGAGGTGTGGGGTTTTTTGTTGTGTTTTGTTTTGTTTTAATTCATGACCCTGTGAAATAATGACATCTGCCTTGGTTGCTCAGACCTATTAAAAAACAAAATAAGACACCCTGCCCCAACAGCCAATTTGACCGGCATCAGTTGTATGTTTCTATCTCTTAAGGTCTGTCAGATGAACTGTAGATGAACCTCTCCATTTTTTTGATTGGTACTGGTGTCAGACTAATTGACCTTAAGTGGTCCCAGTTGCTGCCTCTCAACATTGACACATCATGGTGCTTTCAGTCTTCACAGTTTCCCTGTTGTCCAGCATCCAGTCGTCTTGGTCCCCTCATCTATTCCAAGAACCACGTTTTCTAGGCTTTCTGATGCACATGTTGATCCCTAGTTGAACATGGTATAACCTCACTGAGCAGTGGACCGAAAAATACTTCATCCTCATGTAAATACATCATTCTGCATCTCTTCAGGGAATAGAAGTGTCCGCCTTCTCAGCATCATTGCTGACTGTTCAGTCATGTCCATCTAATCGAGGTCTTGTAACGTTGTCACTGGTTGTCACTGCCCAGCGCAACATACAAGGACATCACCTCCTTAAAGAACTGCTTGAGCTGTCTTCACAGTGGGTCACAGACATTTAGTGGAGGGTGTCGGATTGGGGGAGTGGGAAGAAAGCAGGGTTTTTTTCATTGTTCTAGGAGAAGGCTGGGAAAAACATCAGGAAGACTTTGTCCTTTGTGGATTTGGCAGTATGCCAGTTTGTCTTGATGGTAGTGTGGCATTTCTTCTTTTATTTTAAAAGCTCTTTACAGTGACTATACTTTGGAGGAGTTTTTCGTTCCTTTTCTCATTGCCTGTTGTGATGTTCATCATTCTTTTATTCTGAGATGTTCTTTGAGGAATTGAGGCTGTGCACAAGAATTTCTCAAGCATTATACCTTTCCTTCCTAATTCAAGTCAATTTCCCGTAGTTCTTTGAAAGTATTGCGTGGATCTGTTTTTCCAGCATCTCTGTGCAGAGCACAAAGGTCTGCTTTTGTTGTTGCCTGTGAGGTAGTCTGCTCATATCTGAGACTTACTTTTTAACAAACTGCAAACAAAAGACCACAACTTTTTTTTTTTTTTTTTTTTTTTTTGTAGCAGGGTATTATAATTGGCCTAGTTTGAGGAGATCTTGCTTTCCTGTACAGCTCAAAACTGACTGGAAGGTTGTGGGGCTGCAGAATAGTGGCAGATGGTGACATACAGCTAATAAGCAGGGGCTTGTGCTCAGCTGTCAATCAGAAAGCCCCAAAGCTTTTGAACAGAGGATTTCCATCCTGCCTCCTGCCAGGAGTTCAAGCCCTCAAAGTGAAAATCCTGTGAGATACCATCTTCAAAGTAGCAGAATTAGAGGTAATTTCTCCAAAGCACTGTTGTTTGTTTTTTTTTTTTTTTTTAAAAAAAAAAAAAACAAAACAACCACACAACCCCAAAACAAACCATGCCACCTAAAAGGGCATACCTTCTTCAAGTAGCTAACTCAGAAGAGCATTACACTTGTGAAATTTGACATTAACGACTGCTCACTGAGAAACACATCCAGAATCTTAATTTGGGGGGGAGGGGGGAGGAGAGAAGAGTGATTGGGAAAATTAACTGCTGGCAGTGCTGCAGTGGTGTCTGCTGTGTTGGTGGTGACTAATGAATCTTTACCCTCTCAGTGGCAGCAAAAACGCACAACTGCCTGGCCTCACGAGCCCAGCAATTACTGCTGGAGGAATCAGTAGGAAATGGAAGTGAAGTGTGATTCTTTGCTGCACCGAGTAACAGAAAGCAGAAATGAACTGTGCTAATGAACTGGAAAGGGTTTACTTGTATTAAGTAGTCTTTTACCTCTTGCTATTTAAGATTTTCCTGCAGGTCCTTCAGTTTTGTGCAGATTTTTCCCATTGTTTTGTAAGAGAAAAGTTCCTTTTAAAAATATGGATAGTATTCCCTGTAAAACACCTGGGCTGCTCTGTTCATACACCTTGGAGAAACCCAGCCCAGGTGACTTGAGGAAACTGAGGTAAGAGCTGTTGTCCAAACAATGTCTTGCTTTATACTTTTTTTGTGTGTACTTGGCATGCTCAGGAGCACACAAGTGATCATGGGCATAGTCCTGTACCTGAGTAGCTCTGCAGTAGCTGACTGGAGATGCTAAGGATCACTACATGGCCACCAGTGATTCTGGTTTTGGATTGCCCAGCAATTCCGTTCTCCTAGGAGAGGAAAATAAATTTCTCCTGGGTTTTTTAGAGAGCCAAGCAAGAAGGAAAGCTAAGGGTAGATAGGTACCCACAAGAGAGTTTGGAGAATTAATGCTGTTTTCTTTCTGTGTGCCTTATCCTTCTGGCTTTCTGCTTGGACTTGTTGAGAGCAGAGAACAAAGGAGTTACATTTAGTGAAACCATTTGCATGTTCTCGTCGTTAAAGCTCCACAAAGAGATCAGTTTGACCAAGGTCCTTTGTATATTTAATCTGATATTCTGAGAGAGCCTATCCACAGTGATGCTGCTGACAGAAACATACACTGATGCTGAGGACGCTATTGATTGGCAGAAAAAGAGATCTCTCTTTGCATATGGTTTTTACAAAGCCTAAGAAAAGACTGGGTTTAGTAAAATACCTTTCTGATGGATCTGACAGAAGATTTGAGATTGTAGTTCTATTTTGCACTTGCTTTTTGTAAAACACCTGGGTTTACATTTGAAAACTCTGAAGGTCAGAGACTCTGGAGATCTGTGTTTGTGCAGTGGCTTTGTGGAGGGACCTGGTCCAGTTTGGGACGATTGCTCATGATGGCAGCATCGGTTCGTGAAGCACTGAACTCATTAGTGACTGAATCTTATGTGCAGGCTGAGTGAAGTGGAGAAAGTGAATACATTGTGCGATGCGATTTCTAAAAAAATTGAAAAGTAATTAGAAAAGTATTTCTAAAATATTAATGAAATAAATTTATTTTTTTAAGAATAACATATTTCAGCACATGCTCCTGCCTGTGATTAATCTGTCACCTGTTAATTGCTGTGTGCCTCAGAGGTTAACTCTCAGACCTACAGTGATACCATGTTAATAGAAGAAAAAATGCACATGACTGTTCTGGTTTGTCTGTTCATAGTACTCGTATGCAGTCACGAAGGAAGCAGCCGGCGATGTGGTGGACAGGGGGACCTCCTTTCTGGTTCTCTTGGAGTCTTAGCGCACTGGGCATTTCTTGCTGGAGCAGAAAAAACAAATGGGTATGAAAATTAATTAACTTATTAATTCTTGTGAATCTGTGTTCTCGTATGGCAACTGTTGTAGACCTATGGGACTAGGGTATCCATGTACTTTTAAAAAATGTAAAGGTGTTCTAGAGCAGCCTACATAATAGTTGCAATTTTAATAAGACAATCCCTTCAGTAATCTAACATCTCCCAAGTTTGAGGCAGAAGAAGAGTATAAACCTGGAGCAATTCCCAAGGATATACGTGTATGAGGTATGTGTTTCCAAAACAGCTGATACAGGCAGAAAGTATGAGGAATAAATGAGCTGTAGTCACTGGCAGTAACATCTCTGTAATTCAAAAAACAGGTCCTTTAGCTTTGTTCTTGTAATTTGTGGAATCCTTTAAGTAATCCAGCGGGGCAGGTAAGTTGAAACTTGCAAATAAAATACAGTTTCTAAGAGGGTAACCACTTGAAGGCAAATGGCAGTCCAGTTTGGTCATACATATAGCAGCCATGCAGCTGCAGCTGGCTGTTGGCTCTTTCATTAAATTATGTCAGTTCCTGTCCAACTAGTTGGTCCGTACAGTCACACAGTCTTTTTGTGAAAGTAACTGCTTTAAATGAAGTTGAAAGGAACCCTGACACAAGCAGCTAGGGAATAACAGTCCCTCTTCCCAATAAGTATTGAGCTATTGAAGCTTGAGGAGTCTGTAGTCTCTTGGATGCTATATGCAGATGCAGTTAGATGGGAATTGCAGGAGTTAACTAGTCTGTGCTTGCCTTACTGTGAGAGCACTGCACGAGGTCCCCCAGGAGGAATGAGGGACCACCTGACTGGTCTTTAAAATTCTGAAATCTTAGCATATCCAGAATGAAAAATGAAACAAAGATTGTTTGTGTATCTGAAGTTGCAGCTGCCACTAAAGGAAGAACTTCGTTTTGCTTCCTTTCTTGCACGTTGTACAACAGATCAGTATTCAGTTGTTGGAGAGACAGCAAATGCAGCACGTGTTCTCCAGGCTCTCCTGACTTGGGCTCCTGTGGCTTTTCCAAACAGCTCGTTCAAACCCCTTTATTTTATAATGAAGGAAAAGTGGGAGAGGATAACTGGCATCAGCAATACATTGTGTCTCCTGTGGTGGTGTTAAGGTGACCCTTCTAAAACACCTGCTGGACTGATCCTGTTTATCTCATGTGTTTCAGGAAAGGAGGAGCTTTTTGGGTTCAGTGAATCAGGGCATTAGCTTGTAGCCTGGTAGCCTGCAGTGCAGGCATTCCAGCCTGTCCCTCCATGCTGTGCCTGGCTCTGTTTTTTCAAAAGGGGCCTGTGCAGAGCAGGATTTTGAAACCTTAAGACTGCACTATCTTTAAGGGGTGCTAATGGTGTAGTAGGTAGGATTCTCCTGTTAAGCAGACTGGATGTTAAGGTGATGGCTTTGGAGTGCAGTGTGGATCCAACCGGGTATGCAGTAACCTTAGAAATAGGTGCTGTACCTGTCTTGAGCCCAGAAGCCTGTGCACAGCTCTTGCTTCAGAGCAGTATTTGGGCATCCAGGATTGACTCTCAAGACGACTTAAATACTCCTGCACCTTGATGAGTGTATGAAGTTGCTGCTTTCATGGAAAAGATACTCAGAGTTGCCCCAGTAACACCTAATTGTAAACTCACGTTCTGCTTTGCCTGTGTTTTATATCATGATCCTTCACAAAACTCTTTCTTGGCACAAGAGTCAGTAGATTCTTAATGACTTACTATGTCCCAGCCATGGCTGAGCTTTGTGAGGTTTTTAACCAGCCGGCAACCAGAGCCCAGAGCTGGCTGCTGAATTATTCTGCACTTGTTTTCCTCTGCTCTGGTGCTGTAGGGCAGCAGAAGCAGCTCCTTGGCCCAGCCTGTGAGAAGGTTCTCTAGAGGTGGCAGGGCTGCCCTGCCTTCTGGGGGGGGGGAATGGGGTGCACTTGAGGCCTGGGGCTGGGTACTCTCTTAGGCAGTTTGTAAGCGTGTAGGAGGCATTAAGAGAGTGTGCCTTAATTTCTGCTGTGATCTGCAGCTGTCACTGTACCCCTTTAATATGAGCTGAGGGCCCCGGAGCAGTGACTTGGGACCCTGACAAAAATCATCTCTTGTCTACTCCCCACATCCTTCCCCCACCCCCTGCAGTGTAAAACTACACTGAGTTACCCAGCAAGTGGGGAGGAAAGGGAGTTTTAACTCTGCTGCCAGGGGAGACTTCAGTCTTCCTCTGAAGGAAAGGATGAAGTTTCACATCGGTAAAACTAGGCATGGAACACCTTTACCCATTTCTAAGCATGTTTTCCTTTTGCATCCTTCGGCCCTGGTGGTGTTTCTCACTCAGTCACATGCTGTGCCATGGGAAGGGAAGTATTTGTTAAAAAATTCAGCCAAAAGTGTTCTGCAATGCAAGAGTCTGAGAAACACGGATGTTCTCTTAAGAGGCCTTCCCAAAAATGCTGACAAACATGAGTACATAGATTATGTCCACCACCTTATGAATTACACAAGAGTGTTCAGATTTTGTTTATAATATTTCATGTGGTTTTTTTTTTTTTTAGTCAAAATCCCTTTCTAGTGGCTGCATTTGGAGCTTGCTCTCTTACAAGGCAGTCTAACCACCAAGCCTTTCAAAAATTTGGACGTTCAATGACTGCCTCTGACATGGTTTCAGAAGTTGGAACAGCTTTTAGCAAACTTTTTGAAACCTGAAGCCAAAGCAGCAGAGAAGAAGAAAAGGAAGAACAATGACTGCAAGAGTAATTACATTTACCGTAGAATTTACATAAGTAATGCACCCTTTCAAGTGCTGTAGCAGCATTGGTATGCTAGGTAGATTTTTTTTTTTATTTTTAAGAATAGAAAAATATGATTAATGTAGATATTTTTTAAGAGTTTGGAATACAAAAATGTTTTGGCTGAAATAAGCTGTAGTTGCAGATCTGTTATAATATAATAAAACTAAACTGAAAGTATTCCTCTGTTCTTTTTGATAGTTATTGAGCAATAACTAAAGTGTGAACAGCAAAAAAAAAAAAATAAAATGCACTTGATACTTAGATAAAATTCTTCCACCAGCTCAACTGAATTTCTTGGATTGCACCAAGGTTGTCGTATTTTCATTCTTAGACCCTCTGTCTAGAATTAGCTATTGCACTTCATTTTTTGCCATGCTAGTATATTAAGAAGCAAAAAGTAAGCCTCTTTGGAAAGGGAATGCATGAGAGTTGCTGTAGATTTTGAATGTATTTAGTTGCCTTTTCCCATTCCTGGTCCCAGAGGCAGCGCTGATTTTAACAAGACACCCCTTCCTCCAAGGTGGTGGTGTTTTTTGGTTGTGTTTTTTGTTTTTTTTTTTTTGTAAAAGGTTCCCCCATTGCAGAAAATAAGGATATACTGTAGATAGCTTAGCATTAAAGAGTAATTACACTTACCTGAAAAAAAATTTCTATTCCTTTAGCTGACCTTGACTTTAGGCCTCAGTATGATGAATTTTGTGAAATTATCATTTGGAGAGATACTAGGCAGGGTAAGAAACTTAGTGATACCTAACCAAACTTGTCAAATTAGCAGTGATCATGGAAGAGTTAAGTGTTTTAAAACTCAAATTGCCTGCTGAGTTAGAGAAGATCAGCATACAGAGCCATAGGTGGCTAGCTGTTAACCAGCAGGAATATAAACTGCAGGAACAAAAGGCAGCCAACAGCACGTACCTGTACCCTCTTCGTACACTGCAAGGCAAAGGCAGGCATAGAAATATGGTGGTTGGTCTTTGAGCTCCCAGTGCAGCACCTGGCTTTAGGAGCTTTTCCCTTGATCCTTAGCAAGACAGACAGGACTTCTGCTGTTAGGGCCATACCCGTCTGTCTTCTTGGCAGGACAGGTGAGTGCTGGGTTCAGCAGGGAAGTGGTGTGGTATTTTGCACAGTATCATTTCTTAAATTGTTGGAAATTCAGTCAGAGTTTGTAGGGATTGAACTGTTGCAGAGAGAGGGGCAAGTTCATGCAAAGTGCATTTAAGTGGGTACTGCCTTTAAACCTACAATGTAGCTCCAAGTGTATATACTCATTAAAGCGCAGGAACAGCATATAGTGTGATACAGTAGATGTTAGTTATTGCAGGGACTCTTTCCCAGTGATTGAGCTCTAGACTGGAATATGGCATCATGCATATACCAGTCAGGGTGCATTCTTGTACCTTGCAATAGCTGCCCACAGAAAGCACCTGCAATTGGAAAGGCTGCTCCGAGTTATTTCCCTTCAGCCCTTAGAGCTGGTATTTCTGGATGCACTGTGACTACTACCTCACCCCGATGCATTTTTGTTTTTCTTTTTAAACCAGTTACCTATTTTTAAAATAGGTTTTTAAATGTTTGCTCATTTTGGTCTATGAGGGTTCACAGACTTTTTAGAGTAGAGCAACATCTACTCGTAAGAGATGGGGTTTCAGTGTTTAATTTAAGCAGTTTTGTAAACTGTCTACATCTTTGGGGAAACTAAGCTACTATTGTTTTTCCCCCTAAAACTACTTGAGAAGCATGACTCCTTTTAAATAAAATCAGAAATTTAAAACTGATTTTAAAACAGCTACTGGATTTTCTTTAAAATGAGCTTTTTTTTTTTTTGTATTTAGATCAGTGGTATTATAATCTAAATGGCATTTGTAGGCAAAGTCAATCAATTAACAGAGCTCAGTACAGACTTCAACCTGGTGTGTTGGTTTTAAATCTACACAGGAGTTATATCTCTGTTATTCACTAATGTATACAAATTGTTACAATTTTTAAACATTCTGGAAATGTAGCAGTTTCTTTTGGTAGGAAATAAAAATAATAGCAAATTAACTGTATGTGTACTTTGTTTGGTGTGTTCCAATCACATTTCCCCCAGAAGCTGAGCCAACTTTTTTGCCATTCATTCTAATTTAGTAGAGCAACTAGCAAATTTAAAATACCAACAGTGTCAAGTAAGCATCTGCCAAAGTGCTAATGTAGACCCCCCAATCTCCTCTAGGAGCACTGATAGCCAGAAAGGGAGCAGAAAAGCAGCTACATGTTTTATTCTCAACACTATAAAAGAAAGCTTTTATCCCCATCGAGCAGATTACTTGTGTGAATTGTGTTTTCAAATTAAATTCCTTGCAGATGAACCCCCATTCTTAGTTTTGTTATCTTCTCATAAAATGATTTAAAGAAAGTATGGCTCTGTATGAACTCAGCCACTGGAACAGAGGATGCCTCACATGTAAGGCAGGCCTCAGCATCCATCTCCAGCCACACACCACAGGGATCTTCTAACACAAACATGGCAAAAGAAAAACTAACAGAACAGATAATAACTAAACATACTCATTTTATCTTCCCAGTTCTGATGGAGACAGGCTAAAGGGGCTGCATTCCCACTGCTCTGGACACCTCAGTGTATTCTGGGCAAAAGCAAACTGAAAAGAGGCCAAGACTCACACATAACTGGGTACTGTCATAGTGCAGTTCAAGATTTCACAGGACCAAACCAGTAACACTGCAATAAGGGAAAACTTCAATGCTAAAAGCATCACCTCCTTCTCTGGCTGAGAGGAACACAATTGTTTAAACTAGTAGGCATAAGACTGTGTTTTCATCCTCAAAGATGGGCCTAAACTCTTGCCTCTGTCTTCGCTGTTTTAATTCTCAGTGCCAGTTCAGCAAAGCAGAGTTTGAGTGCAGATCACGTAGCCAGGGGGGCTGTTCCTGCCTCTGTCAGACACAGCTGCTTCCACACTGCCGGGGAGTCAGGATGCTTCCACCCCCTGCGCTACATACACATCGGCTGCTGCTCCTGTATTTATTTACCTAGTAGTATCCTCAACAGTTTTGCTGAGATTGTATTTGATCTTTGTTAGGCATTCCATTCCAAAGATTTTATTTGAAAGTATTAGTATTTACAACTGTTGCCAAAGCAGCTGAAATAAAAAACAAGTCCGAGAATGAAAGATCAGCCTTTTTTCCCAGTCCGCTGCTCTGCTTGCCCTCCTTCCTCCATTTCCCAGGTTGAAACAGCAGCTCTGTCCTGTAAGAAGAAGTAAGTGGGTCAGTCTCAGCCCCCTGGAGCACACAGGTATCATACATGTGTAGGCAGTTGGAGGCACGGGTTTTAATCAAGCTTCATACAGCAAAGCTATTAATCCAGTCAGGTAAAAGAGGTGGTGATACCATCTCACAGGAATGCCCCTGTGATTAATAATGCTCAAAGTTGTAAAACAAACACAATTCTTCCCAGTTAAGAAGGAAAACAACCCACAAAGGAAATGTCACCTCTTTAGCATGGGGTGCTGCAGCAGTATGGAGATGCTTCTGGTAAGCCCAAGCCATCACATTTTCATGTTTAAATGGCTCATGTACATGGAAAATGGCTCTTCTTGCAGCCAACACATGAGAATATATTGCCTAATATATCTGATGTCCTGAATTTTATGATAGTAGCCTGTTGATGTAAATATCTGTAATGCAGTACTGTCATATTTTTGAAAAAAGGATATTGCAGTCAAACAGCATTTCTGACTTAAGATCTAGCTGTTTGACTGCAATTGTTGAAAATAAAAGTTAATCTGAATATTGAAACATAATAACATTACATGAGCTCTGAATCATGAGAAAGACTGGAATACAATGTAGAATTTTCTTTACATTAAAGTAAAAACTGGTTTTGATGTGTACATACCTAATTACCACATTTCACTTAGCACAGATTAGCTTGCATTTCAAGCACACTATAATGACATGAAAAGACAGTGGATATTTTAATCTGTTTCAAGTTCTGTGACTTCAGACAGACAAAACATTGTCTGCATTGAGCAGCATGAGAGAGGAAACGGGGGTACAGAATCACAAATTAACAAGCTGAAGGAAAACTACCCTTCCTACAAAGTTGATTTTTAAGGGAATTAAATTACTAGCATCCTCTGAGTTGCAACTCACACCCTAGAGCCCCTGCCCAGCCCCAAACCAGGGGTTTGTAGTCTGCACTGTGTGGAGATGAGGCTTGTCTGCTTCATCTGTTGTGCTCTTCTCCTCCTGCACATGGACTTGAGAAGTTGCTGGCTGACTTCAGCCACACGTAGCAGAGGGAGAGCCTATTAACAGATGCATTACAGCATGCCTATCATGGGGCTCATAAAAGTTCATGGAAATCAAAAGCTGGGTAGAAAAGAGAAATTCAAATTACTTCCTCAAGTGTGTATTAGGCAAGCAGGGCCCAACTGCCAGGCGCTGTGTTACCATAGCATTTTTGGCAACAGCCAACCCAGGGCAGCCAGCCAACCCCACCAAGCAGATTCGTGTTGGACACGAGGGTGGCAAGAGCCCTGCTTTGGGTGGGGCCCTGTCTTGTCACACATGTGCTCTGGTGAGCCTGTGTGCAGAACTGCAGAGCTGCATCGCTCTGTTTGTGGGACTCTTCTGGGATTTACGAAGGCGAGACCTGGGCAACCTTGACAGCACACCTTCAGCTGCTTCCACAGCAGAAGCAAAAGAAAGCAGTTCAGCTTTGGACACAGGCACATCTGAGCACATACAGCACATGTGCTTTGTCTTCAGGAGCAAACTACTCTAGGACAAGCAGGAGACAGATTATGCTGAGCTTCGGGTTATTAACAAAACACCTGAAATAAATAGAACAGGCTGAATCCTGGCTAAGGCCAATTTCCAGGTTATTAAATGTCCGTAAATTTTAAAAGAAACAAAAACAAATCTTCTAAAGGGTGGAGGTGGGGCTACAGCTGTTTTGCCAAATAGATCAAAAGCGAATCTTCTTTTCCAAGACTTCATCTCAGTGCAGTTGTTTGGATTTGCAAACTTTGACAGCTGAGTGGAGTGAGGATTTAGCTATGTACAAACAAGTTAAGGAAGCAGATGTTCCAACTTCCCACAGTCTTCCTTTGCTTTCACAGCTGTAGCTCACCACCACTGCGCTTTGGCCCTCACCCCAGTTTGTATCTGCATGCTCACTTTCAACTGAGATCATGAGACAGCTGACCACACTTCATATTTGCTTTTATTAGGTGTGTTGACAAATGACAGCTCTCACATTCAGCAATTAAAGAGGATGTATGCTGTCACTCCCTCATGTCACTATGCTTTATGTCCTCCCATTGGTAAAACAATGCAAGGAGACTATGCAAGGCTCAGTGCTCAAGCGAGGGAAAAAATGAGCAGCATGAACTAGAGGGAGGGAGAAAGATACTGGAGAGAAAGTGGAGGATTATTCTGCATGGAAGGAGCAACACTGACCCAAGAAGGGTTGGAGCAGAGGTGAGAAGGGCAGTGAAGCAAGAGGAACTGGAAGAAGCAGCACCTGCTAAAGAAGTAATACAGCAGCTTAAAACCAGGAAGAGACAGTAAGGCAGTGATGGGATTTCTCTTCAGCAGGAGAAACGACTGGAGTAATGGAAAAGAACAGTGGCATTAGGTACAAGCTAAAACTAGAAAGCAGAGTGGAGAGAGGAGTAGTACAGGAATCAGGCAAACTACTTACGGCTCAGGAACAGTTGGGAATGAAGCTGCTGAAGATGGAAGAGGCTTTCTCATGAGGACTTATTTTGGGTGGGAGAATGTGGGGAGGGTAGAGGGAAGGCATTATTTTCGTAAGTTATCTCATCTTATTTTCCAGTTCCTCTACAGTCTTTTTAAAGATCGCACACATTACTCATACCTGTCCTTCTGGACTGAACTTGGACAACTTGAGGATTTCTGAATATTACAGGATTTTCGGTGGCTAAATAGCACACCCTTAGTAACAGAAGTAGGTACAGCAGCACAGAGACACAAGGTTGAGGGGGAGCAGAAAGCAGGTAGCAGTACAACCAGGCAAGGGCTAAACTTCCACCTCCTGCTACCACAGTGGTACAGGGAGCAGGGCCCAACACCGAAAGCTGCTGAAGGGGGCATGGAGGGCAAAAATAAATATTGTCTTAAAAAATCACTAACGGTCTCAAAGATGGTCACTATCTTCTACCTTTATGTGGATTCCAAAGGCAGCAAGGTCTCCACGCAGACTGTCACAAGCCTCCAGGAGGGGTTTTCTCTCCTGCATTAACTGCTGCCTCTTTTCCTTCTCTTCTTGTTTCGATCCTTTGGCTCCTGCAGCACCCTCCACGGGCACGGTGTCTGCTGCTTCTGGCAGAGCAAGCGCGTAGTGACGCACCTTCGCACGGAACCTTACAAGCTCCTCAATGACATTGGAGAGCACAGTAGAGTTGTCTCTTCCCAGAGTCACCTAGAAAACAAACAGGTTGCTTTACAAATATCTGAGAATGATTTAAAAATCAACCCCAACTTGGTAGCATACACTGAGGCCTTGTCACCTCTCTTGGTTGTGCATCTTTCATGTATTGCTACAATTGAAATGTCACAATCTCACTAATGCTCGGCAAAAAGTTACAGTGGAGTCACACTCGAAAGTAGTTCTGTGTATTCCTATGCAGGAAAGCATCTATCTCAGAGCAGAGGGCTCTCACATCAACAAAACATGCTGCATAACCCAACTGAAGAACTCATTGCCACAGGAAACCTCCAAGACACCAAAAGCGTGCATAAATTAAAGAGGGATTAGACAAATGAATAGAAGAAAGGCCTGGCAACAGCCTTCCAACACAGCAAGGGAAGTCCAGCCGTCAGCTCAGACAGCCCCTTATCTGGAAACGTCTGCAGAGTGAGAGCCCATCAGCCCTTTTACTCTGCCTTTGGGCCCCAGACCTTCTTCAGGAAACAAAAACCAGGAGAATTAAGTATTTTGGCTTTAAGTCTCTAGACTACCCTTTCTCCCTGCATCTACAGAAAACCTCCCCTGATCCACAGAACTTTTATCTGATCCACCTTATCCAAAGTTTCAGCCACCCAAGACCTGACAGAGCAGCAGCCACTGCACACAGTGGGTGTTTTCTGGCTGCTGCTGCTGCCTGGCCCCACTCCTTCCCTGAGCCAGCTCCGAGCTTCCTTGGCCTCCTCTGGCCTGACAGAAGTAAATGCCATGGGAAGGGAACAGCCTTGCTCCTCCTAGAAGGTCCCACTCTGATGGCTGCCAGGATGGGAGCTCAGGTGCTATCAGGAGAGGAAGGCCACTCCTCGGCGCTGGCACAGCCAGGCTCCTGGTCTCGCTCTCAGCAGAGAAGCCAACCCTGTTTCTCATTAGAGACAAACTCCTAAGGGGGAGGCAACAAACAAGAAAATGCCATTGTGGCATTTTATCACCAAGACGCAAGAGGAGGAACAGACAACGGAGCAGTGAAATGTAAAATACACTGAAGCCGGGGGGTGAAGTTGCTGGCAGTGACTCTCGACTGGGAACAGAAGAGCAGCTGAGTAATTAAAGCCAGAGGGGACTGTATTTAGTCACCGAACAGCAGGATGGAAATGAAAGGGAGTAGTTTCAGAGGTCACTGACTGAAGCAAACAAAGAGGAGGAGGAGGTGGTGAGGGGGACACTATTGAAGATACAGAATGTGAGATATTCAGTGCTCTCCACTGTCATAAAAGGCAGCAAATTCCCCAAACTTTCAAAACATGTGAACATACTAAAGTAGTTTATGAGATTAAAGAAGGTAATAAATTTAAGTGCCAGAAATGCTCCATTGTAACCTGAGCAGGTTAAGTGCTTATATACAGATGGGAGAAGAAAGACAAATGATGAGAGGAGCAAGAAACACACCTCTACAAACACCACTGCCAAAGCTTGAACCACCCACTCATGACACAAGGCAAGATCCTCCAAAAAGGAGAGGCAGCTTTAGGAGATGAACCAATCCGATTTCGACGTAAAACACTGCGTAGCCTCTCAGGGATGAGCTCTAATTTCTCCTGCAGTACCAACCAATCCAAAAGAGCTTGTAAGAAGTTTTACACAGAAATTTGGCCCTTGCCCACCCCACAGATGATCACCTGCTTACCCCTGGCTGCACCCCCAATACAGAACTCCTTGTCAGAGCAAAAGCCCTCACCTTTGCTCCCCAGCTCTAAAACAGGCAGGACAGTTTCCAGCCATCATCTTTTGAGGTGGATTCATCTTACCTGCCTGTGGCTGTCCAAGCTCCTTCTCTTACCAATGCAGAGGGAGAAACAGGCAGTCTAATTTTATACAACCACCAGCCCAAGTGTCCCTTAGCAGTGCCTCTCTCTCTGACTACTGCAGAAGCACAGGCAGCTACATTAAACTGTAAGGCTAATTAACTGAGATGAATTCCATCTTAAGAGGAAGACAGACCCACAGGCTATATGGAAATATTCAAATGAAGAGGGCCCAAACACCGCTCCCTGTAGCCTCTACATTAAATAGTTAGCACAGCAGCAGCCAAGCCAGCTAGCCTTCTCCCAGACAGCCCACATGCCAGGACCAGCAGTGGTCAGGGACTGCTCCCGGCAAGCTGCATGCCTGGGGCCACCTGGCTAAGGGGCAAGGAAGATCCGACACTGGGCTGTTGTGTCTGGCCTTGAGGTCAGAGAACAATCCCTGCACCATTTTATTTAGTAGCTTGTGGCAGCCCACAGACCTTTCTGATGAAGGTTTTGATTGATATACTTAGTGGAAGCTGAAAGAGCAGAGGGACAGAGAAGAGTCCGAGATGCTGCTCCTCCTTCCTTCCGACCTCACACCAACATCCTCTGCTGACCCTGCTGCCCCAGAGAAACTAGCACAGCATACAAAAAAGAAAAGCATTCAGACACTTGTTTCGGGAAAAATATAGGTGCAGCAGGCACCTGCATACACACAGCCCAGAATCTGAAGGAACGACTTTGCCATCCAACTTACAGACAAAAGTGTTTAGTACACCACTAAAAATTAACATGTTAAACCATGGGTTATGAGCAGTAACACACAGCCAAATCACATCCAACTGCTGTTACGAAAGAAATTTTGTGGAAGAATCCACAAAGAGGCAAAGTAAATAAATTCATTTATTGCTGGGCTGCCCGACTTTCAAAGGATAAATACATTTTCTTATCCTCTTCTCCCCCTCCCCAAAAGAAATTTTTGCAGAACAGTTTCTCTACAGAAAGTTTTTAACTTGTTTGTATTCAGCTCCAGATTTAAGCAGCAGAGGAGCACGTAACAGCCTGCTAGTCTACAGCACCTTGTGCTATTTTAAATGCTCCCCTTCCGTACATCAGGATATCACCTCCATATTTATCACTCTCTTCCCTGTGCAGTACTTTACTTTAAGCTTTTCTCTCCTTTTTTCCCCCCTCCCCACTCCTACCTTTCCTTTTCCCCCTCCCCACCCCTACCTTTCCAAGTACTAGAAGATACGCTATTTCCAACAACAGCCAG